CTATAAAATCGTTACTGTGCTGTATATCGTTCAATTTTATGCAGAGCAACATACAGGGGCGCGGTGTGAGTTAAACGAGTGTCGCATCTGTGTTTTCCCGTGATGACACAGCCTGGCCTGCATGCGTAAAATAAATGTTTTTATTCGAAGTTATCATGCAAACCAGTGGTTGTGTGGAGTAGCCTATTTTACACTATATTACTATTTTACAGTTAATCTGTAAACATTAATTCATGTGTGAAGTAAAAACATAAGCTAGTATTAGGCCTATAGTAAAAAAAATAAATGAACCCATTAGCTGGGTTAAATAAACAACCCAATTTGCTGGGTAAAATTAACCCAAAATGTGTTCTGTCCTATATTTACCCAGGCCTTGGGTTAAAAATAACCCAAACTGGGTTGTTTTTAACCCAGTGTTATTTTAGAGTATGCTAACAAAACATACCATATTTTTGGACATTTACTATAGTAATACCATGTCTTTTGATCCAGCGCTGTCGTTTATATTCACAGCACCAGGACAAACATTGGTGTGACACCACTCATATAAAAATACTTTAACATAGACATAAATATAATTTTTTAAGCAAAATCAGACTTTTTATGTCTTTGCATTGATTCTGCTGGAAAGCACTTCTTTTGCTGATTTTATTGCTGTTTTCCAGTCACAGTTTATTCATCAGTCTAAAAAATCTGCAGAATAGAGCCTTTTTATGCGCTTACTAATAACTGGTATTGAGGCGAGTATAGAGAAGCGGCTGAAGAAAGCTCAGTTAGAAACACTAATATCAACAATCTCTTGGTAAATCTTTATACATGGCTAACTGTCTGTTGTTTTGCGTGTCTAGATAACTATTCAAAGTGGCATAAAACATCTTGCATTTTGAGAGTGTTAGACCAAGGTCCAAAGAAAGATTTATGGTCAAAGTGTTGTTTAAAGAAACACAGTCTTGACATTAACCTTGTGTTATAATCTGTACTTGATAGTAGGATAGCCAAAGGTAGGCCTCAATATAAATACTTAACAGAGTGAGAGTGTTCCACTTCTTTAAAAGTGTGCAATGAAAGCACATATCAAGACAAAACAAGTTATTTAAAAGAGCTTTGTCTATTAATACCCTGCTACTCAAGGGCAAGGCACAAGGAAAAATCACAAGACAGAGCCAAATGATCTCACATCAGAGCCACAGTAGCTCCATTGTATTGAGCTGCTTCTTAAAGCTGCTGTACTGAGAAGAGTGAGAAAACTGATTATGTATAAGATGAACAGATATCACCTGTTTGTGGCATACCTGTGATCTCAGAGTTTGTGATCAACAAAATAAAATTGGACAAAATTAGTAGTACAAGCTGTTTACTATATCCTCGTCATTTCCGTATCCTACAGTGAGAAGTGTGAGAAGTCTTGTGTTCTCTGACTTGTTCTGAGAAATCCTGTTTATGAGACAAAAATGAGAAGTGAAATGACATATGAAAAAAAGCTATCTCTCTCTCTATCTCTCTCTCTCTCTCTCTCTATATATATATATATATATATATATATGGCAATTCACTTGACATATACCACATGCTATAATTCGAATTAAAATTAATTATAGCAGTGATTTTGATTATCAGGTTATGAATTTGTAAAAGAAGAAAGAAATATCTCTAGTCATTCAAAATGTGGTAGCATTCATTTTCATTAATTAAAAATATTTAATATAATATTTAATTTTTAATTTAATTTAATATTATGTTAAAATTTAAAAGTTAAATGATGTTTTAAGTAAAATAATGTAATTAACATGGAAAAATTAACAATCTGAACATAATTCCCGATTTGAAAAATTATTTTTGCATGTAATTCAAAGGCATTCGTTCATAAATAAATAAAGAAAGAAAGAAAGAAAGAAAGAAAGAAAAAGAAAAAGAAAGTGCCGAGACGATAACAAAGCCACGTTTTATTCCAGTAGGTGGCAGCAAAGACTTTGGGTTATCAGAGGAAGCGTTCATTCCCATATCAGCCACAAATATAAAATAATAGATAAGAATTTAGATTAGAATTAGAATTTATTATTACAGGTAGGCATAATCATCTGAACCATTTTTTTATGTAAACAAGTATTAGTACTTTAATTCATGCATTATGTTTTTGAACACTTTACAATTTAATTTGTCATTAGTAACATTAGTTGACTAACTATGTACAATACATCTACAGCATTTAGTCATACAATATTTATTTACCAACCAATACAGCTGCACAGTGACCTAACACAAACAATCATATTTATATAGATTGCCAAAGATTAATAAATCTGCAAAAAAATATTGCTCATTGTTAGGTTCATGTTAGCTAAGGTATTAACAAACAAAAGAGACATATTGTAAGGTATTAGCTGAGATTTACTATTTCTGTATCAGCCTTTAACATTAATTAATATCCTGTTAACATGAATCATTGACTGTTTAAGATGGGAACTTCATAGTTAATTCAAAGCCATTTGAATATTGTCTCTTTCCATTATAAGACACTCAAATAAAGTTGCTTCAAAGCCTTGCCATACTTAAGAAATATTCTCTTCAGCTAAGAGAAATCATCTTGACTGAAGAGCCCATCTGAAGAGATCATAAGTGGTTCGCTCTCTATGCTAAATATGATAAGAGACGATGTATCAACGTCATGCTGATGGGACTGCAGACAGCTTTTAGAGACACATTTTAAAAACAGGAGGTTTGTGGCTTTGTGCATTTCACTCAAGTAACCGAAGATAACCAAAGCTTAGACCTTAAATGAATTAGCAACTCAATTTGAGTCTATATGATGTGTAATTGCTGTGACGCAGTATACAATATCTTTTAACTTTTATTTGTTTTGCTTATGCTGTGAAAAACAACTCCTATTGATTCAGGTTCTCAGAAGGAAAAGAAATAAAGTAGCCTGCTATTAGACAATCTAGTGTTTCCCGACACCTCTCAGAGCATGTCGTCAGGGAATTATGGTCAAGAATGAGATACTCTACAGGCACGCCAGCTTGGCTTTCCTTGAAGGAACACATCTGGACAACCACACAGTCAACGTTAATTTGATCAAGGCCAGGGAATTTTGTTCTTGTAAGCGAAAATTAACACTTCATTTCCTTTGTCGGCAGAAATTCTACACCGTGGACTCATGGCCAAAATGAAATTAGCTGAAAATGGTCCTGCTTTAAAGTATAATTAGCTCATTGTTGAGATGCCTAGTTAATTTTCTTCCAGAGAGCTGGCTTGCTGGCATGAGTTGATTTAAGCTGGTCTCCGAGCCTGGCAAAACTATGCCAGTTCAAACCATCACACAGATGGCCTGATGAGGCTAAGAAACCAGTTAGGACAAGCAAACCATCTTAGACTGGTTTCTGTTGATATTAGAATTTGACCTTCAATCCTAAAGCAAATACTGTTCAACTAGGTACACACACACACACACACACACACACACAAAATTGGTTCTTCAGTGGTTCTTTGGGGTGCATATAGCACCACTGCCATACAAAGAAGCCGTTAAGCCTAGTTCTTTAAAGGTACTCTAACTCTTATTCTCTTAGTTTAGTTTTTAGGAAAGGATTAAAAATAACATTACAATACAGTGTATTTCCTGAAAATAACGTGGTTCTCAACCTTTTTGCCCCATGGCCCCCCTATTACAGGGCCCCCACACAAGACTTTTTGACCTCAGAAAAGCATAAAAGTGATTCAAACCAGTGTAGTTAATCCTGATTCATAGCAAACATAAGAGAGTGGAGTATCTAAAATCTAAGGAGGACATTGGGGTTCCTCCTAAGGTTCATCATATAGCACCATTTGACAAAGGCGCTGTATAACACCTTTTAAAGATAGGTGCTATATAGGCCTAGCACTTAAAGTGGTTCACCTATGATTATGAGCCAATTTAGCAACATTTTTTAGAGTGTATTTTATCCATATGCCTCAGTTTTTAATATATAACCTGAGGCACGTGTTTTTGATGTTAGCTGCAGCTAATGTGAGTCGAATCTTTTCATTCAGCCAGTCTGTAGTGATGTCCGGTTCGCGAACGAATCGTTCAATTTAACTGGTTCTTCTTAGTGAACCAGTTGAACCAGTTCACCAAATCGGACTGAATCGTTTGAAACGGTTCACGTCTCCAGTAAGCACTAAACCACAAATTACTTAAAAACACTTACATATGATGCGATTTCAATTTTTCCTTTCTCTTTTAAGTGTCACAAGCTCTTGGTGCATAAAGAAGATCTATAAAGTTGCAAAGACTAAAGTCTCAAATCCAAAGAGATATTCTTTATAAGCATTAAGCGGCTCGTTCTAACACGCCCCCACATACCTACGTCACGATGTGGGAAGATTTGCATAAC